AGAAATTCAGCTGTTAGGGTAACGAAATACAGTCCAACCACAAATTCAGATTCCAGTTGTTATTATTATTAGAGATTCCAATTATTATTATTTTGCTAAGTTCACGTTTATTGAAAACACTTTGCACACATGCCATAATTAATCCTTTCCCGCAAAGTAGCCTATAGCTAATCGACGCAGGAAAGAAAAATAAAAAAAGTTACAATAGTAGGGTTGAAACATAGCAATAAAGTTAAACAGATACACGAACAAAATACATATACAAAATACATATATTTCAAAACAGGTAAATGAAACAAGGTATGAATGAAATTAAAATAAAAATTTAATATTTACTAAATATGTCAAATAAAGTACGCACGCTAACATAAGTATCTTCCTGTATCAAAATGTCCAGTAGCCGACTCTGTAGGGCATTCTTAAATTTATATTTAGGTAGAGCACGATCACTGTCAGGAATACTGTTCCATACTATTCAGCCTGCTCAGCTCACGTACTCTTTGGTTTTCAAATATTTCAGTTATGGGCTTATTTTCTAGAAACGTCTCGCATGACCTAAGCTGTCAGAGGCGTAGTCTAAAATGAGGCAAGACATGAGGAAGGTTTATCTCAGATAAAACAAAAAAACAGAAAAACTATTTGTCTTAAGAAAACTCAAGGAAAGTTTCTTTGGTTTCGGCGCATTGTGCATGAAAGAATTTTACGAAGGCATAATCCTAATTAACATTGGGAGCTCCTGCTTATTGCTGTTCCAATATTTCAGTCATGGGCTGCTTTTTCCCGAAACTTCGCACATGACCTTTCCTAACAAAGTCATTGTCCAAAATGAGGCAAGACAACGCCTTTAGCTTGAAGAACGTTTATTTCGAAACATAGAAGGTACCGATGCCAAACAATTATACCTGTGCGTCAGCGAATCTCAAAAATTTTTCTGTACCTTAGCATTTTCACCGATTAATCATCATATGAAGCGTTTCTTTGGTTTCGACGCATTAAGACTAAATATTTGCCAAAAAGCTTTTTGCGAGAGAATAATGCTGTCACGGGACGTATCTGCCCGATTTATGACAAATATTATAACTTGATGGAAGTTCTATATATCTTTCCAATCATCTTTAAAATGAAACCGATATTTGACTTGAGTTAGCTAAATGTGTCCTTTGCGGAATAAGTAAAATATGACGCCAATAAATAACGTTTAAAATATGAAAAGATAAAGCATGAAAAATGGAATCTGATTGATTTCTGACAATTGTATCTGACTAATTCGACATAAATACTAATATATATCGTTGTAGGAAGTTTTCTAGGTTCTGGAACATTTTACATTAAGAAATTCTCCTTTCATGTGTTCATATAGGAATGAGGTTTTTGAGCGGGACATCTTGTCTCCGAACTTGACGTCCCTTCGAAGATGCTTATCCCTTTATAAGTGAACATTTCCACATCTTTAGTAATTGACTTAGCTAGTTATGGTTATGCGGCTCGATTTTGTTGGTAAAGTTTTCCCTCTATTTATCTTGTTCTCACATTTATTAATATGGGAGTTGTCCTTTGTTTGTAATTAACGAACTTTGCACTTTTGGTTTTTTAGCTTCAAAGAACCAAGCAACTTAAAAGTAGCTGTGTAAAAGTGTGTTCCTTTTACTGAACGTTGGTTAGTTAGTTTCCTTTACTGGTTATTCTCCGTCAGAACCAGAGAAAGGCTCTTGAAAGGAATTTTGCGTAACAAGTTAATATATGTTAATAAGCACATAAATACAGGGTGTTTCAAAAGTTCGTTCCGATTGTAAATTGTATCAGTTTGCGCAAAGCATTTAATGCTTCTTTAGGCAAATTTAAACTGTTTCAGGTCACACATTTATCTAAATAACCGTTCAAAGCAATTTCAAACTAAAATTTGAAGAAATTATTATTTTTTTAAATTTTTAACCCAACTGTACACCCACACGAGTTTTTTCCCGCCATACTTTTCCTGTCCATTCGTAGGTTTTCAATTTTGGTATTTTTAACGCTTTCTTTTATTTTCTCTACTCCTTCATGAAAATGAAGGCCCGCACTGTTTGTGCTTGAGCTCAGGCATCTACTTTTATGGTCTTATGGCCATTCAGACCAAGTTACAACCTTAAAAATTGCCTTGATGGTGTCTTGTAAAATACGATGATGTTATGGTTCTACAGACAATTATCTATGTAACAACTTAAACATTACAATATCACACTTGAACATGAAGATTATTGTCCCTTAAAATTTGACACCATGCAGACTAAACCTTTGCATAATTATTGTTAGATGTACAGTGTCTTCATATTCATAAAAGAGGTACGTAAATGATTTAAGTCCTTCTCATTCTATCATTCTAGAGTTGTACTTGGATTTCATGTCTAAAGCAATGGCGTTGTCTTGGTGTGTTCAAGGTGTCTTCAGTTCAGTCAGTTTTCCGCACCTGTGAGCTATAAATGTCCAACATGAACAACGTCCACAACACGTTTTTCGTCGCAACTTGGATTTATAATGTAGTCCAGCATTTTTTTTCCCAACTTAAGTTTTCCTCTTGCCTTTACAACACTTCAAATGCGTTGGAATACTCTAATCAACCGCACGTTCTCGATTAGCTGCCATGTTTTTTGTTCCCAGCCTTCCACGTGTCTTTCGCACATGCGCGATTTGATTTACTTTGTCACGTGCGGCTTTTGCTGAATAGTTCATATTCACGCGGACTTTACAAGCAACACAGGTATCCCAAGCTTACTATGAGAGCCCTGAACAACATTATCCTACTTAGCTAATTAATTATTCATACGACAACAGTTATAAGACGTTGTATGAAATTCAGAAAATTATCCAATTTCTCCATAATTTAGCGAAACGTACATTAAATTTTTCCTTTTAGTATTTTGTTACATTTATTTGTGTGTTGACTGCGTTTCAGGCCTCTTAGGATGCCAAGAACCCGAAAACAACACTACCCATCAAGCTAATTAATTATTCATACAGCAAGAAAATTATAAGACGTTGTATGGAGAAATATTCTTTACTCACTAAATTAGCAAAATGTACATTGAATATCGCTTTGAAGCTTACCTTTAGCGTCTTCTTGCTTTTCTTTGTATTCTGACTGCATTTCAGACCTCCTAGGCATTGTTTAATGCCTTTTTTTGAGCGACAGTTTTTCACCGAGATGACAGTAGAGAGAAGAGAAGAGAAGGTTGGCAAACCTTTCTTGACCGGCTCCGCTCTCAGCAGCGATAAATTCTGTAACATTTGCGACATGGAGACAATTCCGCCAGAAACAGATGTCCTGATAAATAACGCACATTTTCCATCATTCACATCGCCAAAATTCCCATTTCGAAGGTCCTAAATCGCCAACGAAGTGGACAATACACGGCCGTGGTTAGGCGAGTCGAGAGCAGATCCGCAACGGACTTTAACCGTCAAGTCGACAATTTCAAACCGGCGCGGGCTGGCAGGGTCAAATTGTTCCACCGTCAAAGGACAATTGGAGTATTCAGCCTACTGGGCACAGTAACTGATGTTTCACTTCTCACATTGCACTCCGGGGTCACGGAAGTATCTTACCTTTCTATCCAGCGATTAATAGTATCGTCAAGAAATCCAATCAATAGAAAACTAGCTACTACAATTTGACTTCACATTTTAGAAATAGTTTGCTAGCGCTGTAAGCAGCTGATGTATAATTTGATCTTAAAATCGGTCTAGCTAATGTGGCAGAATTAGCAAGAGAACATTCAATGAAATATTTATTTACATATTTCTTTTCCGTAAAAATAGTATATATATTTATTATATAGACTCGAGTGTTTTACTGGAAAATATACCACTCGTAAAATTCATAAAAACTACATCCGGGACCCGAGTGGTTTATTTTCCATAATCTCACACGTGAGTTTATCGATGACGTAATTTCGGTATTTTCCTGCAAAATTTTTAGGCGTCTTGCGTCCTTTGAATTTTAATTATACATTTTTCAAAGCTTTACTTATATTTTGTCATTAATTGTAGAGCCCTATTCAGCTCAGTGTTATTTCTCAAGATTATTGTAAACAATGTCTTATATTGCTGTACTGTAAATTTGAGCCGTCACAATTACTTTTTGCATTGGCGAATAAAAATCTATTATTTTATTGATGTCTTTTTGTCTATATAACATTACACAGCGGCTTAAAGATATGAATTTTATTTTCTCGTGGCAAAAAAATACTGTTCGTTGGTAAAACACTGTTTTGCCACTCGAAAATAAAATTCATATCTTCGCGCCACCGTGTAATATCCTCTATATATTTACACTGTATGCGTTGTCTAAGTCTGGTATGCTTAAACTGACTTTTGACTTAGCATTGATATAATAGTCATAGTAATAATTAAGTGCAAGGTTTTGTGGCTTTAGGCTGAGCTTGGGTGGACTATATTCTATAAGACTGACCACTCAAGGTAAACCCTGAACAAGTATTTGCGTGCCCTGTAATTTGATCTTGGCCAGGCTGTTCAAGGTTTCTTGGCAAGCTTGACCAATTTTTGGCCCCAACCAGCTGCAGCAAGTGCAGGCCAATTGTCGGCCAAACGTTTCTGCTTTTCCTTGCCAGGCTTTACCAGTTTAGACTCCAGCCAGCCACGGCCTGTCCAGGCCATGCAGACCATTATGTTTTTTGCTTTTCCTTCTCAACCGCGGCCAGGCCAGGCCGGACTGGTCCTGTGGCCGCGGCTTCCCCCGGTTTATTTATCCCCTGGTCGACGTGGCCAAAGCCCGGCCACAAGCCGGGCTCACCCCAGCTTTCAGATGCAAGGGTTAGTAAACCTTTGTTAGACCCAAAATAAGTGACTGTGCTTGTAGTATAAATAATAATAACTGACACTAATACTGAGTTGTCCTGTTTTATATACATGCATAAGTGTTGATACATTGTACATTGTGTAAGTGTTGATTCAGTCATGTTTTGGCAGATGTCCCTTAAGTTGGTGCTTCATTACCTGGGGTTTCACTCATGAGCACAAGTATTTCCCTCTTTCTCAACTACATTGATCATGGGTGTCATATTATGCAAGGATAATAACAAGATTGCACATTTTAAACTTACTTTTCTTGCCAGTGGAAGCAATAACTCAGTACACATACTGTTGATGCTCTTAACTATCCTCTTCCCCCCGTTCATCTAGGAACAAAATGCAGCAAAATCATGTCAGATCAAACAAGACTTGCACAGGCAAGCTTCATTTCAGATAAAAAAGATTACATTACACATGTACACTTTTGAAAAGAGACAGGCTATTTTCTTGATTGGTGGGTGGGCATCAGTACACAAAAATAATGTTTAGGGGAAAGAGACCTCATGCAGATACACAGTAGGTCTGCATAATTTTTATGTAACCTTTCCACATCCAAATTCCCTTCATTCTACACTGTACAATTAATGCTTGTGGGGGATTCTGTGTTGTACTCCATAAACCCAATTTACGTGATAGACCATCTGCGGAAACAGGTTTCCCCCATGGGCTACACATATATGATTATTACGATACCTGTGCCTTGCGTATAAATGCTAATAGTTCCTTCACTAGGCTCCGTAACGTTTCTGGCATGGATGATACATCTGGCAAACTAAAAAGAGATTAAACTTGAAACTTAACTACCGGTATAACAACTGGCTACAGGTAATTCAATTCGCTAATTACAGTGCACATGAAAATAGCTGCAAACTAACTGTGTGCATTGATTTGAGGATTCAGACAGGACATTAATGTTTAGACAACATGAAATCAAAACTAAATTAAGTTCTACGTGTTCCAGGGGGTACATATTTGTGGTGTTGCACAGAAGTACAGTCTAGGTTATAAAGAATTAACTCAAGCCAATAGACCAGTCTTGGACGACAAGAGTGAGGATTGGCCTGTATAAGAACATTTGAGATCAGAAAGAGTGCGCTACTTATTAATTAAAGTCTGCAAGTTAAGACAATAACTTTAAGTTACAGACTCAGCTAGCCTGCGTAGCTGGTGGTATTGTCACATCAGTGTGTTTTAACCTTACTCATCTTGATGAGTGCTGCGCTCTACTTCCTCCAGGCATTCATCCATCATGGGAAGTGAGCTGCCTCGTACCCAGACGTCTCTATTTTGATGAAAATGTGCGAGCAAAGGAAGGCGGGAAGGAGACAACGGGCGAGACGCCTGGCAGATCTTGTTTTCAAGATGGCGGCAAGAGTAATGGCGGACCAATATGCAATTTTTAAAATAAGTTCAGCCCTGTTCATTTGCGAATTTTGAGCAAATCATTGCCTATCCACGTCGTGTGTGTGAAGAGGAAGCTGTTTCCACCCCACACATTGGACTCAAGCTTCAAACTACTAGCCCCCGGACGGGACAGTATTGCCTTTAATTCTGTTAATTTAATGAAACTGCCGCACGCCAAGGTAACAGCCGGTCAGGAAAGTTAGTAAGTTAGTAATCGTTTCTGTTAAGGTCTCCAGTGATGAAACGATCTATTCAGTCGAAGTGAAAAATGGCGAGCTGAGAATTGTCGCAACAATCAAATGAAGCCAAATATTTTGTAAAGCTTTAAAATACTATTTCCCGCACGCTGTATCTTGAATACTCGAAAAGGCAACAAACCAGTCTAGTCTCAAGACCTCTAAGTTATGTTATGAAATAGATGATAAAACATTTTTTGAATCTGTTAAATTTTTGTCTCAGGATTTCGCATTGTGTATCATTTGCTCGACAATGTAAGCTTATGTACAGGAAAAACAGCCACAAAACTAGCTCCAGGTTTTTTTGTTACTTGTATTTTTTTATTGTTCGATCACCTCACTGGGTACTAGACTTGTCACTGAATGCACAGCCCGGTGGAAATAAATTCAACTTACTTTTTTATTTATATACCTCATTTTATGATGAAGCTGTGTCGAATGTGCAGCAAATACTTATTGTCTGTATTGTTTTTTATTTGTTTTTGTGATATTACACAGTAGACCAATTTGGTTTTGTCATGCTCTTTTATAACACATCATTTGTGTCTTAATAAATAAATTATTGGTAACTTTGGTTTTCATTTGATAGACAATTTTGTTACCCTGATTAAAGAGGGTGATGTAGTTGATGAGATACCATCGTAACTACCATTAATTTTGGCCAGGCAGGAGATGTTGCCCTAGACACTTTTTTAAAAAAATAAATGTGTTTGAATATTTCAAATTTCATGGCAAACAAGATGCTGTGAATGCCATTTTAGAGAATAATGACTGCATTTTTTGTCCTAATTCCAACTGGTGGTGGGAAAGACTGAGTATTACGAAGTTCTTGGGATCATTCTATCCAGATTCAACATTGGTGTCCCTGTGATTTCTTATACATGCTTCCTTTCTTGGCAAACCTGTGGTAGCTTAAAATTCCCCTCAAAAGTCTTCTGAAGGGGTAGTTTTTGACCTGCTTTGGAGTTGCAGAGGAATACAAGATCATCTAATAATTATCAATGGACGCAGAATTACCTTGAAATGCAAAAAACGTTAAGATAAGTATAGATGGTTCTGCATAACTACTAACCCCCAACCCCCTTCCTAGAAATTTTAACTACAAAATTATAATCAAGCTGCTGTCAAGCTGCTGTCCTTCAACCTCCCCTTGAGAATTTCCAAATAAGGCAATTAACCATATGCAACACACTCTTTGTCAGGTTCTCAAACATGGCGACGAACCAAGCGACTGTGAATCCTCCTGTCTCTGTTACTATTCTTCATTTGAGGATTTAGGGTTGCATGCTGTTTACATTACGCATAATGTTATAAGAATTACGAAACATTTACGTAATCGAATCGAAATAATCGAAATCGAAAGGCAATACTCGAAATCGAATCAAATCGCAAGGAATATGAATATTTTATTTTTTTACACCCGTAAATAAAATGAAATAAAGTTAAAACTAATGATAGCAATAACAAAATCTCCTACAAAAGATAAAATCGATAAATATATTTTAGCTTTAATTATTGTGCAATATATAGAGGATACTACATGGCTGCACGGAGATACAAAATTTCCCTTCGAGTGTTGAAAAATATTTCATGGGTGAGCGCAGCGAACGCGTGAAATATTTTTTCAACACGAGAAGAGAAATTTCGTATCTCCAAGCGGCCATGTAATGTTCTATTTATTATATAAACACCAATGAAATACCACACCATTTCACCTTAATAGTTTTTGGGTGTGAAAGGCGCGATTTATTATGTAGCCATAGCAAAGGTCATATTTTCACATGTGAAGATAACATGTTATTTTCACATGTGAAGATATCAAGTTTTCACGCGAAAGCTCACCTGGTATTTCACCTGGTATTTCAAATACTAAAAAAAATTAGTACAGGTAATAGCATGATTTGTAGTCATATTTGGCATAAATACCACGAATGATATTTCAAAATTGTTATACGTAATTTCACGAGCCGTTAGGGGAGTGAAATTTGAGACAATTTTGAAATATCACAAGTGGTATTTATGCCAAATATCACGTACAAATCATGCTATTATTTGTTTATACTACTACCCACAAAAGGTTCGTAATTTTCACATGTAGGTATTTCAAATTAAGCTGAAATACCACTGCTCTAAGCCAACAAATTGCAGAAATTTCTGATGTAGTAGTATAAAGCTAGAAAAGACTGCCTTTATAGCTGGAGATTTTCGTTTCCCTCATCAAGATGGAGAGAGGTAGTCCAAATTGATGGATTGATCAATGCTGGCACCTTCCTTCTCTTCAACCCCTTCCCTGATCCGAAAATAAAGTTCATTACTTATCTCTCGAGAATCTAGGTATCTTATACCGAGAGTTAGGAATTTTAAGCTTCAACAAGTTATTCATTTTTATTTATTTTGTCAAAAGCGTCTACTGAAATATATCCATCTGTCCCTGGTTTCAGAATTAGTAACGTCGCAGACTTAAATCTTGGTGTAAGGACATAATGTGGTCTTGATAATCAACTCCTGACCTTGCACAATCTAGCTAGGCCTTGCACTTCTTTCAATTCACAAGGTTACTTGCTCGTTGTTCGGTGGATTAGGCCTAAAAGAGCGAAAAATAGAATTATAATCGCCGGTGCTGTACTTTACTAATCCGGATTCTGCAATAAACGACAAGTCAAATACTAAAATATAAGACCTACCCGATACTAGCCTCCCACGCAGGCGTTTTTAGGGGAGCTCGTATTTCTTCCCTCCCCACATGGGGAGAGAAGAAATACGAGCTCCCCTAAAAACGCCTGCGTGGGAGGCTAACCCGATACCGTCAAGTCATCAAATATTTTGTTAGAGGTCTTCGATTCGTAAGAATCCAGCAGAATCCGACTCCTTTGCAGCCTGTCGGTTATTTCTACCTCAGGTTTTGAAATTTTGAGCCATTCACCTGTGTGCTCAAAGTTTACAATGTCTACAACAATATGCTACTAAAATTGATCGCTTCCAAGACTTAAAAAGACCAAAAATTGGGCCGTGCCAAGAAAACGACTTTTTTGACAAGAAAACGACACAAGATCTGGCAGGCGCTTCGCCTGTTCAGGGCGGAAAAACGTTCTGCGCAAGCTTCTGCGCATCCCTTATCGCAGGCTCAAGGCGGGCTTTTCTGTGTGTCAATTGTGTTTATTTGTTGCTGGAGTTCTGAACGAAATGCACGAGGTGCGAACGTTTGCTCCCTGTAAAGCATTTTTATTTGACATGTTTGCTTTTTTTTCGTCGCTTGAAAATTACTTTGGATTCAGAACAACCAATGTTAAAGGAAAATCGCATCATTCCGTCAGTCTGAGGTGGAATAAAGGTTTTTGAACATTTCTTAAGAGGCGAGTATTTTTCTGATTGTGCATCCGATTAATTTATGAGTTGATTTCGCCGGGTTGAATTAAAACCCGCTTGTATTCTGTTGTTAGTACTTACGGTTACTTTTTTACATGCCCAGATTTATTACCTTTGCAGAACCAGCTTTATCTTTGTCTTCAGTCAAAGAACCATATTGCTGTTATAACGCATCAGAGTGAACAAACTTGTGCTCTTATTAAACTTTCTCGGAGATAGAAGGCCAGCAAGCTTACTCAAGATCATTTTCCTGTTTCTCAAGTAATAATAGTCAGAGTTTTTTCATTTTTCATTACATAGTTTTGTTTTCCAGTGAACTGTGAAAGTTTCTGTTCTTTCTGAAGAATAACTTTCTGTACGCAAATTGTCCTTTTCACTCGCTGGGAAGTAGAGAACGATAACCCCCGGCAGTGGCTTCAAAACAATTGACTCTTTTCTCGTAAACAATTGCTGCAGCTTGATTTGACTGAGGTGAGCAAAACAAACCCTTATGTGCAATTTTCTGTATTTTCTAATGATCGGCTGAGTTTAATTTGCTTAAACGAAGACCCTCGCATGGACCGGTTAACCTTATTGAAAATAGCTATGGTGAATCATGGCTTGGCTGCCAAGTTGCAACTGATCTTTTGCTTTTAAGATCTTTAGGTAGGTTGTTTTCGCACAGAAAATTCATTTCTTCATTGTCAGCAAGAAGTTTTTGAAATAATGTAACTTTAACTTTGTTTGAAGGAAATCCTACTTACGCGTTGGTTTTTGACAGATGTTATGCGTGTTCAACTTGACAACACAAAGCAAAATTTATATATCGGCGCGAAACGAGCAAGTTTAAAAAACTATAGTTGCTTTGAAACCGATTTTTGGGAAGATTTTACTGGATAAAGATTGACCTTTTTTCTGCCCACATATCAACGCAATAACTTCTAGCCTTCTACATTGAGGATTTTGTTTATATTTTAGTGATCTGCGAAACCACGAGTGTCCGATCGAGCGAGGGTTTAAAATGTCAGCTCAAGTGAGACAAAGTTCAGTGACTTCAAACACATTGTGGGCAAGCGTTAATTTTTTTGGGCAAATTACTGTCCAAAGATATGTTGTTTTTGTGTCCACAGTGGAGTTCCGGACCTTACATATCCAGGAACTTCCTTATATGAACACATTTCGTGAATGCATCTTGAAAAAAATCGGACCACGCATGCACATTTCCAGTACAACGCAAGGAAATTAATACCCTGCGAGCAGAGGCTACATTTTCGCGGTATGAGCTGGCGTGCGAAAAGTACTTTTCGCACGCCAGCTCATACCGCGAAAATGTAGCCTCTGCTCGCAGGGTAGGAAATTAATGTCGTTAAAGTCCGTTTTACTATGAGGTATTCTTCGAGAAAATTAAGTAACGACAAGGTTATAGCCACAGCTTGCAACTTTTGAAGACAAATTGCCTGTTCTTTCCAGGTTATGAGTGGAAACATTTTATTTTTAGGCAATAAAATATTTGAAAACCCGCCATTTTTTCAAACCCGGCCAGGGGATCTGGGCTAAAAAGTCCACGCATGCTCATTACGTTTTTCCGCCCTGAACTTCGCCTGCCGTCTGTACCCTTCCCATGGTCCCTTGCGGTTCATCACCAGTCACTCGTTTCGCGCTCGCCTCTGCCACGCGAAAAACGAAGCGCCTGAGGAGAAGACTGGGAAGTGAGGCTGCCCAGTGAAACGCCTATTGCAGTGTCATTAAGGCCCAAAAGAGCTACCAGAAAGCCTGCATAACTGAAGGACTATGTCTAATTAAGGATCATAACGAATGGTCGTTTCAAAGCCAAATTAAAACTCAGGAATGGTCATCTATTGATGGGTGTTTATTGATTTTTCTCTGATTGACATTGAGCTATGCTCAGACACATTGATTGACACTTTGTAGCAAATAGTTTAAGGGCTAGTAATTTCTCTTATCATTATTATTTTTGGTTTTCAAATTATCATTAACCAAAAGGAAGAAAAATAATGTACGTTATGTGATCTAAAAGTTTCTATTTTAATACAATAAAAGGATCGTATTTTACAGGCACGAGATTGACATTCTGAAATAACTCCTAGGTTTTGTAATTGTGTAATCATTTGAATTAAGTCTGTGATCGAGCACACATCAGCACTATCTGTGTCGTAGAACATTCACCAGCCTGCATCTTCAGTGTAAACAGATCAAAATTAATGTAACTCTCAGTTGGATGTCAGGGGCTTGGAAATGAAATTATTACAACCTATCATCACATCTTTGTTATTCCAAGTCACTTTACTGACCCTTACCATTAGTCTGACAGTGTACTATATACAGTGTACACACGTAAAGACTTAAAATTTACAACTTTGCTTTCACACAGGAGACTTAATGCAGATTGCTCCAAGAAAATCCACAGTACCAAAAACACATTTGGTTATAAAACCACATCAGTACTATGCAGACTTATGTTCTATTGGTGACATACACTGTATTATTGCCAACTAATCCTTGTTGCAACATTATACTGAACTTCTTAGGCACCCTGCCAGCAGAGATTTTCTTTCGCTTGCTTCATTTTGGTGAATTCAGAAAGGACTCACCATGAATCAAGTAAGATCTTTGTTGAGCATGCCCAGCAAGTTGCTAGGACCCATGTTTTGAACCCAAGCTTAGCGGCCATGCGCTTGCCACAGTGGGCTCAGTTATGACTATCGGTTATCAATAAACAGATGCTTGTACCCGAAAAAACAGTTTAATGAAAGAAAACAAGATAATTTGACTACAGTCCAGAAGTTTGCACTGCAGCAGCCTCAAAGGCTTTACACAATTCTGGCACAACCTCCTTGTCTCTTCCTTACTCAAGATGCAGGGTCAATATAGGTGTCTTTTAGTTGAAAAAAAATTGGTTTTAGAAGCTTTAAATTTATAGCTTAATTGAGGATGTTACTTTGTTGCTGACGAAAACCAAGAAATACTGACCTCTTTAACTGAGCATACACAGCATTCTGCACCCTCATCTCCCATCCAGAATCCCGTAAGTAGGTCTGTATACTCTTTTTCATGTCTGTAACATCAATATGAGGCTTCGAAACCTCCCTCTTCAAAAAAAGGATAAATACTATGTCAGTAAAAATGGAAGTTCTACATTTCTTTTGGTTCTGTTGCTTTGTCTTTTTACTTGTTTTTGTTAGCTATGCCCATATACAATTAAATGTATGTAACTCAGAGGTGTGGTGCACAGAATTCAGTAACAAAATAATAACAGTTACCACGCATCTTGTACAGTACACCTCAGAGCTAGAAAAGCATCCAACACACATGCAAAACACCTACACATTATTTGCATTAACGCCTTTAAAAGTGCATTATTAACACTAGCTTTTGCTTTTTTTCTGTTTGATCTTTACTCTTAGTGGTTGCCCGGAGAATGGTCTGATCTACAGCCATCCCATTAAATATAAACCTCACCCCCACCCCAGTCCCCTGTTCAAAAACTTTTCTGAATATGTGTACAAACAAGGAATTTCTGAAGGTTATAGGACTGAAGACCAGATTTTCTGAGGGTATTATAAGTAGCAGAGAAGAAAAACTTCTTAACGCTATTAGACTAGTGGGGAAAATTTTCTGAAGGGATATACGTTGATCGATGAATTTTTCTAAGGGCTTTGGGGGGAAAAGACCATTTTTCTGAGGGCTAGGACAATAATTTTATTTCAAAGTCCTTCGTCAAGTGGGTGGGGGGGTGTATATTGGTTTACAGTTATCTCGCCACAAAACCATCTCACCACCAACAAAATGGCCACCAAGAAGTTGACTCACTGCCAACCAACTCACCACCAAGAGGTCTAATCAAGTAAAGACTCTGCATTAAGCCATTAATCATCATGTTTACTTACCTAGGATTACTTACCCAGAATTATTACTTCTACGCCAAGCTTATTCGAATTTGATTACAAAGTTATTACTTGGTGGCGAGTTGGTTGGCGGGGAGTCGACTTCTCGGTGGCGAGATGGTTTGATGGCGAGATGACCGATTACCTGTATATTAAATGGAATGGCCCTACCCGCCCTGTCATTTTTGTCCCCCCAGCACTTAAATTTCGAAGACACTTGATCTCAATTGTGGATTTCAAACAAACTCTTCTAAATTAACGTTGATGGGAAAAGTGAAAGTCTTTAGGTAGCTACATAGCGTTTTCAGAAAGTGTGACGGAGATTTCAGAGTTGTTTTCAGACGTACTGTACATGTACGTTAAAAATTTGTCACCTGCAAATCAGCTCTCATCTCTGAAAAAAGTGAACTTTTCTGGAGCTTTTCAATGATTCTGCATAGGATCGAGTCCTTGGCCTCATCTCTGATCATTTTCTAGGATGACTATCACTGATCATTTTATAAAAGAAAGAAGTGATCAACACTTGCCGTACCACAATTTGTCCGCCATTTTGTCTTGCGGTAGACAGTTTGAGGCGTCATATATAAACTGGCGGGTTCAATCGTTTCATGACGCAGGGCTCCCCCGACAGTACTCCATGGGCGCGAATTTCCGGAAATTTCGATCCAAAACGTTCGGTCCAACCGGAAAAGTTTGGAAAAAACGGTTCCGCCTTATGAGGTGGACCACTTTTCCAGGTCGGATCGGTTGGAATTTTGTTTGAATGGATCGCGCCCCATGATTCAAGAATATTTTGAGTGATTCTCTGGAAGCTTCTCGGTTGTTGTTGTTGTTTTTTCAGGATTCCGAGACAATCTCGTACCCAGAGTCTACGCCTTACCCGACCAAAAAAGCCCAAGGCAGGCAGATGGGGGAGGGAGGACCAAAGGGCAGACAACCTTCGTCGCTTGTTGTGATTGTTGTAGATGGTTTTCACAGTGACGTCATCAAATTGTAAAGTCAAAATAGCAAGCTTTTACGAATTCTTATTTACACTAGCTTGAAGATAAACAAAAAATAAATCTTTGTACAAGTTTCCATTCCTGTAGCATGTTTCATTTCGAAAATACAGCATTTTGAACTTCAGAGTTTTCATAGTGCGTGACACCAAAGTAGGAATGCTGTCTCGTTGAAAAAAGTCTCTCCTCTTGATTTTCAGCAATAAACCATTTCACATATTAGAAGATATGTTTATGCGCACGTATGCTAGTTGTCGAGTGAAAAGAAAGATCTTTTATAGAAAAAGTGAACTCCAGATGTTTTTGTTGATTTCCGGCTGGTTTTCAGTGTCACGTCATTCAAAATAGATCAAAATAAAAATCAAAACCGTTCAATAGATAAAGTCCAGATTCTGGGAAATGAAAGGAGGTACATATACAAAGATGCTCGCCAAGATTCAGGTCAGAGGAATATTTCGTATACGAGATATCCGAAGAAATGTTTTACCCAAACTTATAGCCGGAGATTTGTATGGAGACGCCATGCTGGTGCTCACCAGGATGAGCTCCAACATGGCGGACTGAAACCAACAGAAACATCTGTTACCGAGTTTTGCTACAAAAGCGTGAATTTATTCTTCGAGAAACTCATAAACATCAAAGTAATACTTCTTCTAATACATGAACTGTTTAGATAGCAAAATTTCCCGAAATAAGTCACTTTTTAAAGCTACATGACAGCTCTCTCGGCCGCAATGTAAATGCCGCGTCACGCAAAAGCTTAGAAATTCAAGCGTACTCTATCACAAAACCAAGAACCCTTTTGAAGCGAAAATTTGTATAAAAATTAGTTTTCAGCTGCTCTAATGCATCGTGAAAGTAAAATCTCTGTAGGATCGATAGTTTTTTAGTTTGAATTTTAGTGACGTCATGCGAAAACCAACAATGTACACCAATATGGGGTCTCGATACAAAGCTCTACAAAGGTGCGTGAAACGTTTCGGCAAATAACTCAGAAACTGTGGGCCACAAAAACCTGAGACTTGGATGAATTGTTTATATATTAGTCTTTTATGACATTTCACTTTCAGTTTCTTGGCTTCTTCCACTGGAAGGTTTCCAGTTTTTTTTTTTTTGTTGCGTGACAGTGAAAACGTTCTATTGTTGTCTTTTTTTGGACTTTGTCTTTCTATTTTTTTCTCTCTCTTTCTCTTTTTTCCCCTTAAAATGTAAGGTAAAATATTGTAACCGATAATTAGACTTGAGCTAAGATGTCTGTTTGTAAATAAATAAAATTTTAAAAAGGCGCGCAAGAAAAAAAAGCCTCTCCGACACGCCAAGCCTCCTCTGGGGCATTTCTCAAGTTGTACATTCCAAGGGTGAGAAATTAGACTGCAAAGAAGTCCGCAGTTTTGCGTTTTCAAGTACGCGCGAACAGTCAAACAAAAAGTTTGGAGAGAGGTTGAAAACAGACAGCGAGACTCTTAAGCTACACTAAACCGATTTTGACAAGAGAACCGACCGTTTCGCTGTCTGGTGAGAAGTTAACCTCGTTCCCAGGTTCTCTTTCCTGCGAGAACCCTGGGAACGAGGTTGAAAAATTGGTCATCAGGGGACTGGCCTGAGGTGGGGAAGGCAAGCCCGGAGTCAGCCCGAACGCGGAAAAGAAACGAGCCATCGCTGCGGAGAGTAAGGTGGGGAGACAACCTGATAACTGGTGTCTGTTTTAATGGAGAGAGAATGAACATGATAAAACAGGTCTTCTAAACTCGTCACCAGGGCGGGAGAGGCGGGTCCGGAAAATTAAAAGTGGTCTCGAATCACGATCACTGAAAATGACCACAGCCAAATTTATACTCAGGGGGCGCAAAGCATTACAACTACAACAAGCATGCGCGAACCCGAGGGAATGCGCAAGCGCAAGGGTGCATAATTCCTGCAATGAGCTAATTAATCAGGGGAAAAAATGCAGTGAGAATAGGAAGTAGAATCGCCCCCCTCGCTGTCCAAAGAGTCCAATGGTTCTGGGTACGTGTTCACGGAAAATAATTGTGCTTTCCTTAAACCCTTGTTGACAGGAACACTCGGCATGCCCTGTCTCCTTGCACAAAACTATTCATTTTTATACTTTTTTTAATTACAATTATACATACATAAAATATATGGAGAACTTCTTAGTTTACAAGTGAATAAGAAAGAAAAGAGCTAAAGATGAATCTGTTTCAAGGAACGTTTGAAAGTTTTAATCGAACTGCCTTTGGTGCAGTTATCGTGTAGGAATGCTATCTGCTGATTATAGTTTGTACAAGGTCCTGTTTGTACGCATCCCAGTTGATTTTTTCTTGAAGATTTCTCTGCAGTGTCTCTCTGGAAGGGTAAGATCTTACCTGAAATATTTATGAGAAGAAAATAAAATCTTGAATATATTTTATAGTTAAAGCTACAGCTTCCCAGTTAGAGCTGCTGCCTTGAAATAATCTGTTGATGGTTAATGCCTTTCTCAAATAGCTTCCCTGATCTTAATCCTTCGTGTCGAGAAGTCTGGGTCAAAATAGGGTAACTGGACATTTTTATATCTCAAAAGCTGGCTCCTGGATTCGCCACTTTAGAAACGAGAAGGGATCTGGAGTCGAAATGTGTCCCACAATTACCTCTGGGATCGTTAACGGGGACGCGCTGGTCAGCTCCTGGCTATTGGCCAATTTTCCCCTATCCTTAGTAGCCGCTTAGTAACCGCAGACCCAGAAGTCTTTGTGAAAGTTCATTCGGCCCAGTTTGCTTCCGTTTCTTAAGTGGCAACGTGTGCAATATTTGCCTGCAGTTTTAGTTATCCACCTTTTATTTATTAATTTTCATGCGTTCGAAACTGGTTTAACCTCGAAGCTCCATTTTCGTTGTTTATGATTTGTGCAGGGGGGCTTTTTCGGGGTAAATACTTACATTATGTCGTATCCATTTTTTGGTAAGCTCGCTTGCTTGATTTATAAAGAACTTTTTGGAAATCATTACACACTCGGCTCCTCGACTGACCTATAACGGAGAATGAGAGGAGGTTAAGACAACGCTATCTAATGATATTAATTACGACAATGAATAAATAGCCAGAAAACGGCAAGAAGGCAAACGACAAAGATGACCACGTGACCATTTCCGCAGTCGGCGTTTACTTGCCTTTTGTCGCTGCTCGTTTTCAGCTTCAAGAGGACGTTTTCTTGTGAGCAATAAGTATGATCATGTCTCCCGTTTGCCTTTTCCTTTTCGGTTCATTTTTCAATGCCTTTGAGCAGTTAGCTGCATTATTGAATACTTTTTTGCAAAATGTGTGCGAGCGTAAGGCGTGGAGTGAAGGTTTGGGTTATAGGCTTTATACCAACAGCGCCTCACAAAACTCGATCTGTCTTCCGGCGGTATCTCAGTTTCGAAGCGGGGAAAGGAAAAATTTAGTTGCTTGTTCCATTGACTTAAGCCATCAAATGACAGCAGTGACTCACCAGGCTTACGCTAGCCGGCTCCTGAAGAAACTGAAAGTCCTCCTCGAAATTTAAAAGTGTAGATAAACCCTTATAAGTAAAGCAAAAAATAGGAAATAAGTAAAAAATGCAATTAACTTTCTTCAATTCAATTCTCTGATCATTTCCAAGTGATAGCTTGTAGTATATTATGACTGAGACACTGATTCAGTTTGCAATAGTTGCTCCTCAAAGGAGGATGAAAAGAGGTACCCTATATAAAGGGAAATGTATGATTGTAAGTGAATCACTACTTGTGAAAAGGTCCGCCTTTTCAGAGGGGTACTTCCACATGGTTAGGGCACAATAATATTCTGATAAATTTCTTTCTTCGGAAATCAGCGGATGCTCTGCTCTTTTCAAGTAAATGCTTAAGATTTCTTTTAATGCTAGAGCTAAGCGACCTTCGAAATCAAACCATATAGAAATAGATTTCTGTCAATCAAACGATGCAAACATCAATAGGACAAGTAGATTGAATGCAAAAGAGGCTGGCTGCCAAAAAAACACGGGCTACATATTACGGCGAATGAAGTCGGCTCTGTTTGACGCACTTTTTTTCTGATAAAAGTGGTACATGTAATGATCAGGCCTGTGTAGCGATGGTAATGAGTTCAAGTCACAGTTCATCAACACAGAAGAGTAACACTCACAAACACACTTCTAGGATGGAGTAATCCCAACTGTACAAAAGCCGTTTGCTTTTTCTGGTGCTGATGGGGGATGATAGATGATGCTTCAGTGACAGGAAACTGGAAGTCAATGTAAGTAAAACAAGTGCATTATGTAATCAACCACAGACTATATAGGGATCTGTCTGTGTTTCTGGGAGGTGTAACTTCATCATCAAAGACCACACTGCATTTCAAGTTTTGGGACTAGGTGAACCTAGCTTAACCTCAATAAGTCACCCGGCCATTAAGCTCTCCTAATTCAGGGGGCTGCAAAAGTCCTGTAATAGTTTCAGCAACTTACCACAGGAGGAAGAGAATTGATTCGCCTTTGGCGAGTGGAATGGGAACTAGAAAAAGCTGTTGATAAAAAGAAAATATAAACTTTCTTAAGCTACCGTAACACCAGCAACAAAACGGGCAACTTGTTTTGGAACATTACTCCAGGTGTCGAACGCCATGTTTCGCGTTTTACCACGTACGTTCAAACCTTTCTTGCAACAAAGACTGACTGACTGGAAAGAATTATGCCGGAGTCACGTCGTGCAAAGCACTTAGTCACTTGTTGCAAAAGTTTGCCTTGGCCGGTAAAACGCGCAACATGTACAGATTTTGTTGCAGGAAGTAGAAACTCTCTCTACCTTCTGCAACAACCTATTGTTGCAAGACAGGTTTGATTCCAGGGTAGTAAAACGCCCAACATCGCTTTTCAACTCGTTTTTGCAACAATGTTGCAAAACAAGTTGCACGTTTTGTTGCCCGCTTTTCCGTAACTTTAGTCAAACAAAGGTGGAAAGTGTTTGCCTTGTGTTAGTTAGAAATTGAAATCAGACTAAACAAAAAGAAAAACGCCCGTCTGACGTTAGACAACAACAACAACAGCAACAAATTGCGAAAAGCTTAGATAAACTAGAGCATTTAATAATATTTATTAATTCTCCTTGTTTACAAACACAGTTGCTTTTTCAGCGTCAGTTAAATCTAACAGAACTGATATGGTAAAGAGCAATTGTTTGAGTCGGTGCTGTAAAGACCACGTATGGGCGCATGCGTTCCACATTGTGAATTCTTCCCTCGTCGGGAAACTTTTGTTATTTTTGTTGACCCGTAAGTTCGCGGCAACATCCCTTAAAACGATATAATTATAAATTTCTAGTTGCATAACAATGTTTTACCGATTTTCTCGTCTAGCATGTACATGAGACAGTCTTTTACTTTAGATAAGAGTTTCTTTGCTTGATTTTCTTATCCTTTCAGATAGCAATGCTTCGGATGGGGAGATGAGAGGTGTGCAATTCAAATTCGGCAAACGAATGCCTCTTTTTTTTTTTTTTTACCTTATCTTCAGCCCATTATCATTTCCATTGAAACTGAGAGATGTGTTATTTTGCCGTCTTTTAACATGACGCATGATTTTTTACTGACTGCGCATGCGTTTAATGACACCCAGCTAGGCGCTATGCTGTCACTGCTTTAATAGGCGACTTTTGATTTCAGCAAATTGATGACAATACAATGATACAATACACCGTTAGAATTGAAATACCGGTAAAGAAGGAGCAGAAGGAACTCGCCTTGATGTGTCTGTCTTCTTGCGGGCCTTCGTCCAGCCCTTGAAGCTGAATAAGTGGTTTTCCGATGACGGTTCTCTGTCAAATCAGCCAGTTTATCAACTGTTGATACGTCCTCTCTGCATTGTACTTTGCCAGAGACGTTGTGTAATTTTGGCTTGATTATTTCAAGTCTCAGCAGAACTTGACAAACTCCCTGCAGTCAATGGACAAATAGAAAATTCGATTTAAGATAAAAAGTTCTGTTTTATGCATAGAATTAATTGAATCAATGCCACAGAGGGAAAGCTGAGGAACATCTCGTTTCAAAAAGAAACGTTTCCTCTATTAGACCACGCTAATCAAGTGTTTCGTTAACTATCGGCTCCTCATTCATAAAAGTGTTTCGGCCTGCTGGGAAAAAAAATAGCAACAATATTAATGAATGAATAAAATGGTCATAACTGCGTGCGGGAGTGTGGGTCCAAGGGCGTCGCCCACTCAGTCCTGCTTTGAAAGCTTTGAAACAATCACATAGGTTTATGGCAACTCGGATATAGCCAAATTAAAATTATTTAAATCAAAATTATTTGCTTACCGAGACTATGATGTATAGCCAGTCTGATTTATTGCTATCTTTAACAATGACTGTTCCTCTTCTGTTTAAAAGAAATAGACAAATACTTCATTAAAACATATAGAAAACTCCACCCATAGCCATTATACAAGAGGGCAATCATAAGCAACAAATGACTCCTTAATCAATACCGGCGAAAAAAAAAAAAAACGATCGTGCTGAAAGCTTACCTGAAGTAATGAAAGAGGCAGTTTTCCGGGTGTGCAACTAGAAGATCTACTGGCCAATCAGCAAGAAAATCCAAACTCCTGAGAAAATATGTATTCCAATGAGCGTTTCATTGTTTTCGAATCAGTCGAGACGCATGCACAGGCTTAGATTGATGGATTGATGCGCACGTAGCAAATCGCGCCCGAGGAGTTTGAGCTCTGTTAGTTGTAGCTTCCGTTTAAAGAGAAATGAACACATGTTCGGGTGAAATCCTCCCCTACCCTATACTCTCTGTGAACTAGCTTGGTCTGAAAGGGGGGTATGTCGCGGTGAGTTGTCGTACTTTGAAGTCTGAGAGAATGATATCAAAAATAAACGATTGCATTAAACAAAAAAAAAAGCAGCTTGCACGATCGGTTTTTGGACAGTTTTCGAAAACACATGGGGCGGTAAACGTTAAAAATGTTGGCCACCAACTTTTTCAAGTTGCAACCAGTTTCCATCCTGGCCATCGAAAGCAAAAGACGAGATCTAATAGCCGGAAGACTAGAGTAACTTCAAATAAACCTGAAAATTATTTCAGGATTTTTTTTTGGAGTCCAATGTGTTTTTGGGGTTTTAAAGTAACTCCAAAAGATTTTGACAAAGCTCCTTTAATCCCACACGAAATCGAAAGAAAATTATATACTCACCTACAAAATTTCAAATGTGCTGGTTCCTCTCCTGTTTTCGTTTGACCCATAAAAATTCTCTTATAGTCCTGCGAAAAACAGAAAGCGAACCATTTGGTTAATTTTTTTACCCTGTCGCATTGTTAGGCAGGGCCACTAATCCGGTGGAGACTCTGTTTTATCGTATAGCATCGTCTCCCTACAATTCTCAACGATCACTGAATCCGATGAAGAACACATTTCTGTTGCTGCTTAAAGAAAATATGTTTAACCTTTTGTATGCCCCTTTGAATAATATATTACCACTCTTAACAGTACTGAATTCAAGTGTTTCGAAAAAAACGCTGCCCTTGTCCTAAGTGGCGATTATTTGGGCTCTCACAGGTTCCTGCGGCAGTGCTGAGAAAAAATCTGGTCGGTGCTAAATTAGAGGGTGGCGCGTTATCCAGAAAGCATAGTAATTTTCATACTTCTTTTCCAACAACTAGAAGTTGCACAGGATCATTGCTGACTACAGTGGCTGTTCTGCGGCAGTTATTTAGTATGGCGGTTTCCTGGAAAACAAAATAACAAACACGACTAGGTTAGCCAAATATGGTCCAGTTCAGTATTGGATAATGAAGCCAGATTGAACTAAAATCATTGCGACTGAATTGTATTTCTGGCCACACACCACACATGCTCAGCCCCCTCCTCCACTCCACATACACAATCTTTCCCCAGACTGTCAATATTGCATGGGGACGGGGTCGCAGGAGAAATTGCAAGGCACTTGTATAGCACTCTTTTTATGGAGGTATCCTGAAATTACAGGCATTTACGAATATTGTATCTATTGTACCACTGTCCCAGGGAATTTTGCCCCCGACTGTTGTTTTGGTGAAGATCCCTGAAGATTGGTGCTGAAACCGGTCAGCGATTAGTAGTTTTAGGCATACTTTTACAGAAACGCTGTAGCTAGTAATTGCAAAGGTCAAGGTTCAATTCCGCGGTTCTTGAATAAGCCTTAGCTTTTCCTTAGGTTCCTGTTTAACTGCTCCACTATGTGACGTATGTTATTCCAGCCGAGCGTCTGGACCTTAAAAGAAACGTCAGGTCCAATAATCAGAATGTTCATCATAATTAATTTTCTTTTCTTAGTTTAGTGGAGTAAGTTTAAGAAGCCTGCAAGGATTACATTTTGTATTCTTTTGCTTATCCGAAGTTCATTCATCTAGTCGATAGATTTTTATTCTTTTCCTCACAATCATCTCTAATATTCTTTAACTTCTCTACGTGTGGGGCATGACTCACCCCAAAACTTGATCCTCGTTTGAGTGTTGCCAGTGAAGTGAAAGGAGTGTCCAATGTTGGGTCATTTTCTGAAACCACCGTAACTACGATTCGGGAAAAGTTAAAAGAATAAGAATCAGAAAAAAATACTACCAGACAATTAACTCTGGTTTTAATAGGCAAAACTATTATCTACTTGAGATGACAGGTTCACTAGAAAGCGATTTTCGTCTGTATTATTAAGGGCATTTCAAAGGTGCTCGGGTTCTCCATCAAATGTTTGCCTAGTTAAGGTGTCAGTTTAGCGATCACTGCAAATGCCAGACTTGACTTACCTGATCCATTTATAATAAAATAGAAGTTATCTGCCACATGATCTTGTTTGATGATTATTTTATTAGGAGGAAGACTAGAAAAAAAAAAGAAAAGAAGTGATAGAACAAAGTGTTGCTGAGTGTTGGAAATACTGAGCATAAGAAAATCGTTCTGAGAAGTTTGGGGACAAGCAACATGTTATTTGAGCAAAGGTCAATCCTTTGGCGACTTCGTAGCCCGCACGCGCCCTGTACAAGCTATAAGGAATTTTGTAAAAAATAGAAATACGGTTACATTTTGAAATTAGGGACCTCAAGTACAAGGCGGACATAACAAAATCAGCGTTGATTACCTTTGTAGCCAAGCAACTTTGCAGACATCCTGTTGCATGTGAAGAGGAAGGTCGGAAAATGACTCCAGGGTTTGAAGAGCGTATAGAATCTACATCAAGGCAAATTCAAGATCATTACCTTTTAATTACATGTAAGAGCTCGATCCTTTGCTGGAGTAATTCAGGATTGTTCAACATAAATTACACTGGTTTTGCAGACACGCGGACAGGTAAGGAGAGGTAGGCCATGAGCTATAGAAAATGAAAGTCTACACATACCAGGAGCCCATCAAATGATGGGCTCCTGCACATACTTACTGGTAGCTTGCATGGCAGACACTCAAAACGTGAGAGGGAAAGATGATTTGGGTTCGCAAGGGAGGAGTAGTTCACATGCAGTCCCCTATTTTTTCATAAGATCGTCAAGATCTAGCCCCCTACCCTTACAGCTGGTCATAAAATGTGCCGTTTCTAGCTTTGGATGAGTATCAAATCTACTGAGGTGGTGGGGAACGATTTGGGAGGAGGTGAGAACAACAGAGTGAACAGTCCCTGTATTTTTCGCCTCCCTCCCCATCACTTTAATTCCCGGGGCTCGCCCCCTCGGTATATTTGAAACCAGGTTGGTCCCTTTAGAGGTAATCGCTCGATTTCGACCTATCTTACGAAAACAACTGGTCGAAAAGGAGGACTGTGAAGAGTGTAAGGGAGGAGCGAGCACTTCATTTTTTCGTAATCCCGGTAACACATGTGTCCTCTCCTCTCCTCTCCTTTCAATTTGAGGGCCTAACTCGCCTGCTCCAGTTCTCCTTATTGAGCCATCTCCACTATAGGAGATCTGACTTCTGGAAGAGGCTAACATCTACGCATGTATTCTGACTCCCGCATTTATCCGCTTTTAAGATAATAAATAATACCTTCTTTCCCTCAATCACTGTGTGATACAACAGAATCTGTCAGCATGTTAGACTTACAGTTTGAAGTTGGTAACTTGTCCTTTCGTCTGGTCTTGAGCTCAAAAACTGCTGTACTTCCTTACTTATCTTTACCTGCCGACAAATGTTTGCTATTCTGTTAAACCTTTTTTTTTCTTGGATCAGATTAAGAACTTTCTTATTTAGTAAGGCTTTAAATTAGGAGGTTTTATTTTCCATCTTTAATTAATTTCTTATGTGAGCCGCAGTTGAATATTTTCATAGAAACTGCGCGGTACGAATTTCTAATAATAATGATAATAATAATTATCAGCAAGGTTATTCCCTGCCGCTGTTTTGCCATAAAAAGACGTTCTATCCAAAAACCTTGCTCAACTCACGCTCAAATGGGTCAACTAAAGAAATCTCATTAAGGTTGTTTTTCGTCCCAGAGAGTTCGAGAACATTTACTGAATGTAAAAAAACATGACAGTACTGCCAAAGCTAGAGGTCGTTTCATTTGAATGGCGACTACATAAGATTTCGTCCATATACTCGGAAGTCAGACATGTTAGAACAGGCTCATAAGACTCTATCTTTAAGTAAGGATCCAGGAACCAGTTTCCTGAAGGGGTTCCTTTATAGAGGGTGCGACCAGTGAAAGATTTTTGTGTAGACGCCTTCGCCTTCGTTGTTACACTAGGGAGCTTAAAGGTGATGTTACACGGAACGATTCGCAACGACGATTTTTTGCGCAACACAGCGATGCAATATTGGAACAATGTTACAACCATACGAAACATTGTCACAACAATGATGCAACGCTGTGTTGCGCTAAAAATCGTCGTTGCTGATTGTCTCGTGTAACATCACGTCAAGCAACGACGACGCCGACGACAACGAAAACGACAAAAAAGCAATAGCTTTAAGGTGATGTTACACGGAACGATTCGCAACGACGATTTTTAGCGCAACGCAGCATTACAACATTGTTTTGAATGCTTGCAACATTGTTCCACCATTGCCACGCTGTGTTGCGTTAAAAATCGTCGTTGCGAATCGTCTCGCGTAACATCACCTTACAGCATGAAAGTGCCTACTATTTCACGTTTGCAGAAGACGTGAACATAAGACAACGACTTCCTTTTTCTTTTCCTGAACTTTGATACAGTCTTTTAAAATTCAACTCCAGAACAAACTGCAAACATTTGACGAACTGAACGAGTTGGGATAAGCGCGATAAAGTTTGAGGCAGAGCGAATTCACTTTTTAAGTGACGCTTTCGTAACCGTCGCCCGCGTCGTTGCTAAAGCACCCTATTGTTGCAGTTATGATCTAATGTCCAACATGGAGCTTTTACTGACCTCTCTATTGGCTTTAAACTGTTTTGGATCAAACACAGGGGCAGCACTTGAGAAGCCCGGTCTGTATTCATTGTTATCGGACAGGTGCTTTTCTCTTGTTGCCATGTATCCTTCCATGATCTCAAGAAATGACTTACAGATTCCATCCTGCTGGAACACAGCCTTTGGGTCACTGAAAGGGAATATAACCAAAGCCAGTTTCCCATAGACAGGAGGACAATAAAAACCTATTCAGTTTTACGGCAATAAATGTGATTTAAAAGCCAAAGAAGATCACCCATCTGCTTTGTAGTGTATTTTTATACATTAATTCAGTTCCATAGTATTGCCTTTTTGATATCTGTTTAAGGCTCTAATACATCACATTTTCCATTGTTTTTTTTTTTTAATATTTTCCCCTAACTAAGGGGTTAAACTACAAATTGGTAAAAGACACACCTTTTTTGACAAATTCATCTCTACATAACAAATATATAAGGTTTGAGATCGTTACAAGTCAACCACACCCTCTACCTATCTTCAAGTCAGTCAATATTGCTCATTCTTTTCGGCTTTTAATTCAGTTTTAAAGAAGTTATTTTGATGTTTCAGTAAATTTGGTGATCGCGTGGCACGAGCTGAACGTACGGACACGTTTTAATGAGGTTTTAAGAACTCCAAAGTGCTCCGGGTAGTGGTAAACAAATTGTAAATTAAAATTACGATGCTGCACCCAAAGATCGATCCTGCCATGTAAAAAGCTATGATGATGATTCGTTTAACTGACTCGGCTACTTTATCAGCTGCAGGCGGATTTCTGGATAATAGCTTATCACTTATTGCCAAGTTGACAAAAACTGTAAAAAAAACTGTATAGTTGGTAGTTATTTTTCTCATCCTCATGCAGATATGAAAAGAGTATCTTACGATTAAGGTATTGTCAGTACTTACTTTTTGAGTGCCCGTGCTACACGTATGACAACTTGAACCATTCTTGCTAATCGTCTAAAGCTCTCTAACGGCTATAACAAAAATTATATAACCTCAAAAATTAGAAAAAAAGGTTCTTAAGTAACAATGACTGCATGCGAGGAAGTCTTTCATTTGGGCGTGCGCACTACTTTACAAGGGGCGAGCAAAGTGAGCCGCAATTCTCCGCCCATCTATCTCGCTTCACCTTTCGTGTGCCACTCACGCATGACTTCTAACCATATTCCCAATTAGCAAAATCCAACTAGTGGTCTATTATCAATGCTGCGTTCTGATTGGTTGAGCTACTAATAGGCTATATGTCATAGTCCACTAGTAGCGAAAAGCACAGGCTTTGAAAACCAAAACAATGGCGGCTGAATCGCGTTTTGCTAGCTAAAGCTGTATTGTCTCAATATTTTTGACCAACTAGTTGGATTTTGCTAAAACAATTATTCCTCTCGCCCTCATCGCCTCTTAGTCAATAGCCCATTAGGCCTTCGGCCTCATGGGCTATTGACTGAGAGCCCATTTGGGCTCGAGGAATAATTGTTAAATAGACAGCTAAATCGAATCGCTTGCAAGTGGTAGACGAGACTTACGCCTATGAATGTTCAACCTGCTTCCACGCGGGCTGCCGGTCAAAAGAAAGATTCGAGATTAACACTGAAGGAACTAGACCTGTTTTCGGCTCTTGGTGAGGACCCAGCCCATTTGGATTCTCACATGCACAGCACAGAACTAAGCAAGGAAAATAAACATGCAGTTCAGTTTTAAGATCTTCCGAGACAACAAATTTGTAAAACTTTTAAGGAGCTTCTTGAAACTAAGGCTGTTCACACTATACCATACCGGACAGCATTTCGTGCTACCCCTCCCCTAAGCCAACATTTTGCCCTAAGTGAGAGGTAAGTGTTAATGTTGGCTTAGGAGAGGGGTGGGTGGGCTGTTTCCCAGAGGCATATAATGATCAAAAGCTAACCCTGTCAATTTTTAAACAGCGAATCTTAGAATTAACCAAAATTTCTCTTTTACTTGCATTAGAATAATTGTAAGTTTTTCCGAAACAGTTACCAGACCATCTCTCGATTTCTTTCCCTTTTTTTATTTGGGTCCTTTACCTTAGTTATCTTCCGTCAGTTCGCCCTCTGATTGGTTGTAAGGTCCCTCGTCAGCTCAATTTTTTCCAACCAAATTTTGACATGAACACGTTCGGAAAAATCAGTCGACACCACTGAAAAGAGCGCTATAAAATTAATAAAATTGCCAAATTTGAAAGTGATTAGTTCAAAACTAATGAAGATACAGCTCCTCAAGGTCGAGAAATTACAGACGTTTGTAAGGGGGGGGGAGGGCGGGGAGGCACAAACTTGCCCCCCCCCCCCCCCCCCCACCATACCAACATTTGAGGCGCTATATCTTCATAAGTTTTCAACAAATCACTTTCAAATTTGGCAATTTTATTAATTTTATAGCGCTCTTTTCAGTGGTGTCGACGGATTTTTCCGAACTTGTCCATATAAAAAAGTCGAAAAAACCGTGAAAAGGTATAAACAGCAGTTAATCGTTATCGTGCATTCATGCATTACCACAAATTTACCATATTCGATAGCATGTGGGTCAAATAACTCAATTAACCGCAAAATACATCTGGGTAACATACACTTATCTTCACGGTACACAATATTTTATTTAGTCGGGCTGATGCGAAAGATCTCACGGAGAGAGCATGCAGTGATAATCATGCGCAGTACATAGCAAAACAAAAACCACACATGATGATGTCCTCAATTGATTAATATCACCCAGAATCTAAAGGATCGCTCCACAGCAATTTCAGTAAAACTAATCACTTTTTATCCCTTACTTTCACACAGAGGGATTTATTGTTTGGGCCCCTAGGAGCGATAGCGTGACAGCTCAGAGGCTTGCGTGCATGGGGACACCTTCATGCCTATCAGTTAGATACAGGAAGGGGAAACGAGACGTGAGACAACTAGGAAAGTAAGGCCTCCTGCACGATATACAAACAGTAGGGTTGGGATGTTACTTTGTCTGTTAGTGAAATTTTTGTTATTTTGTCTAGTGTCCAACCGCAAGCGTTTACAATGAAAAAGTTACGATCGGACTGCCGCTGTTGCAAGCTGAGACTTGAGTGTTGTTGGTGACCCATCTATTGAGCTTTGCCGGATTGAGGTACTTATAGAAAAAGACAGGAGAAAACTTGTCCCACTGAAATCAAGTTCAGTTCTTAACAGTCCAGGGAAAGAGCTACACCGAAGCTCAGTTAATTTTAGACGAATGATGACGGACTAATAAGCTTTCAATCATATCATGTACTGAGCTTTTAGAAATGATTTCTAAAATATAAGTATCTAAATCCTTGGTTAGTCTAAAAACGTAGTAGTCATTTAAGTTCACAAAGTAGGCTAGTCTGATCCTAGATGGCTGAAAGCTCCAAATCCCAGTAAATGATGTGGCGGATCAAATATAAATCTGTTAAGCTGCAGTGCTCTGTTTAATTCTTAGCCTTTTTTCAAATAATACTGAGTGCTTGATTTTCACATCCTGAACGTTTAAAAACAATTCCAACTCACTGAAGATAACTTACCTCAAAGTGCTCGTGACAACCAGTTGTTAAAGGGCATGTCGCCGATACACTGGATTTGTTACTACTTAATTTCTTCCATCGTTTAATACATATCCGAATTTTTTCATTCCTTGATCCCAATGACTGGTTGCACTCTTCACTCAAGGCGAGGCTAGGCGCCGCTCTACTAAAACACGTTTGATCCGGCTGTTCAGCAATGATTGGAAGGCTGTCTTTGCGAGCAACGGTAGTTGTTCGAGACTGCAGTCGTGTACATGTTTTAAGATTCTTACCGCGGTCACGTTCGGTTAATAAAGCCTCGAAATCTGAGGTATTAGGACCAGTCTTGTTCATTTCCCACCAATTTTGACCATCACGCTTTACCAGCGGCTTTTTTTCAAAGGCAGGACGCATTTCTAAACAAACGCAACGCGAAAGCTTTATGTTTAGACTTGTACATGAAAGAAACAGTATTAACTAAGCTTATCATTCTCAGATGATGGATCGCACTAAGACGCTGAGGAAATTTGACTCTAAGGTTTGTACCTTGACCTTTTCGAACCTTTGATGTCCGAAATAACTTTCGGTGTGCTTTTTTTTTGCTTTTATAACCATCTAATCAAATTATCACCATACTTAGCAAGTTTTCAGCATGAGCAACAACTACAAAAATTCAGTTGAGTATGATAAGTACCCGAATGTTGGGGATTGAGTGGATGGTATCTCGGTTTCCACGTGTCGTGTTTTTTAAAATAACAAAAGATAACATTTGATAATTGGTTCCTTCCTTCTCGAATCAACTGATCCTCTCGTCTCATTTTTTTTTTAATACAAACGACCGACTTCCTCTCTAGCTGGACCCCCTGTCTCTAGGTATTGATTTTATTTTGTTTCTCAGTTAGCTTTTAATTATCGTATGTTCAACAGAAACTACCCTGCGAGCAGACTGGTTTCTCTCTTGTATGGCTTTTCGCGTTTACGAAGTCATCAGCGTAGATTGTACAAGCCTCTGCTCTCAGGGTACACCGAAACCCATCTAACTCTCTCAACTCTAGAGTTGTCCTTTTAAAAAATCAATCTTTCCTTGAATGGACCCTTCACAATCACATCAGGTACCAAGATTCATGCTACAGGGGTCTAAAAAAGCAGCGTGACCTTGGAAAGAAAGGACATAAACACCAATGAAATACGAAATCCCATGGACCCTTGCGCTTCTTCACCAACCACTCGAGTGTCGCTTGCGCGTTTCGCGTCCGCCCCTGTCCGAAAAACGAAGTGCCTGAGGAGGCTGTTACTTTACGAAGTCCGCGAGCCTTGGCACTCACCTGAAATATTTTGATCTCTCTTGCATTTAAAAGTCTACTGTGTCGCCTTTCCCTCAAGACAGCAGTGGAAGGTACTCCAAGGGTCTTTCCAACACACACTGCCTGAACGCATGCGCGGAGCGATCGATCCACGTCTCAACAGAGTGGGTTGTTTTTCTTGCTGTTCCAAAATCGGGTCTGACAGTTCTCTCCTAAGGGATCCAGGGGCATTTAATAGCGTACCACAAACACTCGATCGTCGTCTAAGCAAAGGCAAAGAAGACGCCTGAATACAGGCTCTGCGTAAATTGGGTTGCTCATTTTTGGCGGTCTCTTCGATGCCGAGAAAACTGTTACTCCGTAAAGAGTTGTTCGGAAGAGTCTTTTGTGGAAAATTGGTTATGATTTGTGGTGTACTTAACTTCATCCTTCAGCTATCAAATTGTTCGCAAGCCCCACAAAAATGCAGGATCATTGACTATCAAAACTTTCAGCAATAATATTTTATATTTTCTGCAATTAGTTAACTTAACGAAAAGGTTACTAGAAAATATTCCTTGTTATTTTGTCCTTGTTGACTAAAAGGAAAACAAAAAAAATTATCGAATTTTTGCCTGAAGATGTTCACGAGTTGTTATAACGAGTGATCTAAGATGAAAAGAGATAATTACTATTGTTACTGTAATTCCGATTATTTCAATCAGGCAGGCAAACTTGCACTGTGTTAAAATTACTTTTTGGTAGGAGTGACATAGATCTCTACTGAGCTGAGCTCATGAATATTACGTCACACTTTCCCAAAAAAAAGACAAGAAAGCTTAAGATTGACAAAAATAAATAGCATGTCTTAAATACTCAGCATTAAATACCAAACTCAGATCAGTTTATACTGTTTACATGCAGTCCCGGCCTATTTTTCCTTAAGATCGTCGAGATAGAGCAAGTTCGATTCATTAAAATTCATACTTGGCATCGAGGCCTGGGGGCTGGCGCAAAACAAAAGAAATCATCTTGAAGCTAGCGAAGAATAATACATTAATATGTATTTGTTTTATTCTCCTTAACCTCGGTGCCAAGTCTGAATTTTTATCAAAATTGGTCTATTGGGCCCATTGGTATAAATGTACCAAGGGGATCGGCGTCGGGGGATTTATGGTGGTAACTAGAGACAGAGACAAACTGATGTTACTTACAATTTTACGGAACGGTAAGGTACAGGTACAAATTTTGTTGTTATGCAACAAACTGGGCTGTCGCGTGATGAGATCTACGTAAAAAGTCACAGTGTAAGGTTGCGTACATACAAATAGATACAAACTTTATTCAAGTGTCAAAAGTCTTCTAGCATGCATGCCTCAGGAGGCCCACTAATCGATCGAGGACAATAACTTTTACCTAAAAATTAGCTATTACAATACAAGATTTATCACTATATAGCTAAACAAATGATTTCAAAATTTGTTAACAAATATATAAATGCCTTAGAAGTTGTTAATACAAGATATCGGCTTCTAAACGTCCAGTTCAATCTAACTCTAAATTAATGACCAACGACCTAAGATAACGATTTCTAAATAATCTTATTGCAATACTTCACAGCCACTTTTATACGACTTAGGTCGCGCATACATGAAGTAGCATCCCTTACATGTTAATTAACGCCACCCCCAGCCCCCCCCCCCCCCCCCCCCCCCACCCCACCACCCAAGTCTTTCTTCTTTATAGTTTCTTTGAATCTCTTTCGGGATGTCTCATTTCTATTGCTTATACTTAGCTTCGACCATAAGTAGGGTTCGAAAAAGCTAAGTGAATGTTTTCCGTACACAACAGTTCTTACGCTTGGTATATACAAATATAAATTTCGTACATTGTAGTCTGCCGGCGTTCCCGTTTTAGCCAAACGTTTTTCGGATTCAGACAATCGATCCCGCAGATTGTTAATTCACCTTCATTAATGATTAGCGTCAACAAATGAAAAAAAAAAACCTTTTCAATCGCATCCTCAATAGTCATTGTTTTTACTATTACAGTTTCTCGATCAGAGCGTTGAGGATGGGTATATCTTTCTTGGCTTTAACTACTACGGAAAAAAGCTCTATATTTCCCTTGAGATCATCGAGTGGGCAACCCGTGTAAAGAGACAAAATTGCTGTTGTATGGAAATCTTGAACATTCATGAAACAATGATTTATTGCTGGAGGCGGGCTATTAGACGGAGAAGTCGTTGGAGGACGGGGCACAAAGAACTCACTGAGAAGCTGGTAAGCCGAAGCAAGAACACTGAAGTTGCTAGACGCCACGTCACTAAATGCTGCAGCTGAGCGGAGATTATATGTTGTAACTCTGTTGTTTATCAGAAGTGTACATTTGGTCGCCTGACGTCGAATTCTTGGGCTTTGCGACTAAACATTCTCTTCTTACAGTCTTGGAATTGGGTTGGTATGTTGTGCAAGTCGATGCCGTACACTAAATCAAGCATGGCCATGATGGCTTCTCGTGAAAAATAATCTGCGTTTATTGGAATAATCAACGTCTCTGCGGCAACGAGGGCCATTTCCGTATAGATAGAAAACGATGGGTTTGTGTCGATGAAAACTACCCATTTTTCCTCATTTTGTGTCATCCCTTGCATATTTTCATAACCCTCCAAGAAATATCGTACGCAAGACGTGATAAAGACCCAGGGATTGTGATCTAGTGCAGGATCTTGCCTTCTTTTGTGGTCCATATTCCAGCCGGCCGATTAATTCAAGTTGCATGTCGCTACACAACAGTTAAATATTCATTGGCATTCGGCTATTGAATTTGCTCTCATTGGTCAGGAACGCCCGCGGATCTGTGGTTGTCTGTGGAGTGCTAAATATTTGGAGGAAAAAGCTGATAGTCTTCTCTTGTGTAAAACATTCAGTTAGACTACTGCTTGTTCCTCTAAGTTTCTTGTCTTGAGGGGTTGTTATTGCAAATCACGTAAGAGTTTACAAGTGGCATCTCTACCTCTTCGAAAGTCACACTTCAAGTAAAGTAGGACTGAAGTCGCCTAACAAACACACAAACACTTCTAGCGCGCGTCACAGATATCTATAAACCTCGTGTTCGGCGAATCCCGCAAAGTCACAAGGACATATGTCCGCGTTTTTGATTGGCTAGTTTCTTACGCAGTTTGTGATTAGTCCGATTTAAACTAAGTGTTGACAGGCCAAATATGACTCATAGCTCGTGCATGGTAGTGTGAAACGTGACCCTAGAGCCCAGGGTGCAGTACCCCCTTATATGACTTAAACCGAGATGTGCCGCTGGACAAGGCACAAGCAAACCACCCTCTGGTAGTGGCGCCGTTGCTGATTGAAATCTTTTCCAACTCTCGGTCAGTTTGAACGTCCAAATCGATCGCACTGCAAAACACGCCTGCATGCTTTGCAGGCTAGAAGAAATACAAGCTAAAAAATAAAGTCGACGGCGATTTCTCGCATTGGCACTGTTTTATCTTTTGTTTGCCCCCTGAAATACCACGTAACAATGCTTTTATCCCATCAGTCCTAAGGCGCGTGAAAAGATGGCGGGTATCGTGAGTAAGGTCTATTCGAGAAAAAAAGAAATCAGCACACGGACGCCTTCTTGGGTAACCGAGCTCTGAGCCAGTTATGCGCATGCGCTGAGTCCTGTGGGAACGTTCTAGCTTCCAGCTCGTCACTTTCTGTGTTTGAAAGGAAGTACTAACAAAGAGTTATTGGTTGTTTACCATTTACGAAGATTTTCAGGAAAATCCGGTTGGAAAGTAAATAAAACACGACTTTTTGCGTCGTTCCAGCGCAAAATTTACGGGAGCAACGGAACACCTGAAAAGATAGTCCTGTTTTTCCGGACGGAATACCAATCGGAAATTCGTGTTCCATTTCTTCAAAGTCATCTTTGACACCGGTTTCAGGCCTTCGCCGTCGTTTTTCGGTAAATGGAACTGATTTGTATTGGATTTGTATTCATCTTAAAAGAATGCGGTACCGCTTCGCGTTTTATTCACAACCATTTCGTTGGATGACAGGTGATATTTCTTGAATTTGCTCAAATAGTGTTTTTTCTCTGTCTCTGTCTTTGTCTTTTCTCTTTCACTTTGCCTTCACTGTACATGTAGGTGGTAAGGTAGGTTTTACAATCCATTTGACCTTTTTGACTCAATTAGGAGTAAGTACA